TATTCTGCTCTTTCTAATCTTTTTATTTTGCTTACAATTGTTTTGTACTGTGCTTTCAGTTTTTTCTCTGTTGTGCGCTTTATAAATAAACTTCGCTTTCCTAAATGTGTGTTTCATACATAAACTGTGTGAAGAGGTTGAAGGTTTTGTGGTCAAAAGTGAAAATAGTTTAGAAAAACGATTTGAAACTTGTTGTCTGCTCCACACCTACATGCCATTATCCTCAACTCAGAGCCAACTCTGACACCTACTGGTGAACACGAGCAACAACAATAACACACAACAGCACGCAAATCGTCGGGAACAGCGTCTGTTGCGTGACAGACGAGGAAAAGTAGAACAACACACACACACACACACCTCTTTTATGATTCTATCTTTTTTCCAACTCTTTTTAATCTTTTATTTTGCTTGAAATGTGTTTTAACGTGTGCTTTCATATTTGAAATTAGTTTCTGTGCACCTTGAATCTACCTCTGTGTATGAATGGTGCTTTATAAAAAAAATGACCTTGCCTTAATGGCGGATTCATAAATGAACTGTGTGGTACGGTGGAAGGTTCTACGGTCCAAGTAGAAACTATTTTTTAACTTAATCACACCAAACTTCGTGAACATCATCATCGTAACATGATTCTGATCTCTACACAAACATCAGGTCTCGGTGTTTGGGCCCTAAATCTGTCGTCACCTCCATTACCCTCAACCTCTTCATATACAGTCTGTGCTCTCAACTCAGAGCAAACTGCCACCTACTGGTGAACGCAGGCAACAACAATAACACACACAGCACGCAATTCGTTTGGAACAGCGTCTGTTGCGTGACTGACGAGGAGAATTAGACACGCACACACACACACACAGAGCAGAGTGTGTCGAGTCAGAAGGAAGTGAGCTGTGCGTTTATAGAATAAAACTATTTCTTTATTTCCTGAGTAAAGAAGCGTGTCGGTGGAGCTGGAGGTGTGTTTATGTGTGTGTGTGTGTGTGTTTGTGTGCCGCCGCCATGTTCTCGAGGCGCTCAAACCCACGCGGGCCACATAAGAGCAGTTTGACCGACTTTACACATCGCGTGCGAACCAACAGGTTCTCGTGACAGCGGGACAGATGCTTCTCAGGCGAACGCTGCTTCACTGCAGGAAGTGAGCGGAGCGGCGCATGCTCCTCTGCGGCCCCCGACCAGAGCAGAATGAGGAGTCCGCTGCGGTGAGAACGGTGAGTTAAGAAACTAACAAGGGTGTGTTAAAGGTGTGTTTTAACGTGTGTGTGTGTGAGAGAGAGAGTGTGTGTGTGTGTGTGTGCACGCACTGTGGAAGCGGAGCGCGCGCCGTCGAGTCTGCTGTGCGTGACACACGTCCGTTTTGAGTGGGTGAGAGACACGCAACTGTCCGCACAGGAGTTTGCGGGCTGCTTGATATGTGAAGTATACTGTGTGTGTGAAAGCCAGTGCGGTGAAGGTGTGGATCTGTGTTTGTGAATCCTCTTCTCTCCTCCGTGTCTTTCTGTGTTGTTGATGTTGTCCTCCAGTGTCCCCTGCTGCTTGGGTTGTACTGGAAGATGTGGAATGAATTCATGATTCTATTATCCTGTAACTGTTTTATCAACTTGCATGTTTTGTTTCCCTCATGACCACTGAGCTTCGTCTAAAGTTTAATCATATGTAACTAATGCAAAATGTGTTAATATGATCTATATCTGTATCCTCCTTTACCGTTTAAGGTCATGAAATAATCTTATTGGCCTATGTCATAATTTAGCTGTGACCTTTTCAACATACTGTGAGAATCAGCCTCTTGAGGAGACTAGTAACTGTTGGAATTTGACATTTTCCTTAATATGACTTAATAACATTAATCCTGCGGATACTTATTCAACAGGTCTACTATTTGTGGTAGAAATCCAGCAATGTTGCATAACATAGCACCGATATGAGAATTTCACTTGAAACACATTCAAAGGATATTTATAACAGTGTATTTTCACCTGTTGAGTCCATAGTTGCTATTAACCGCACTGTTTTTTATTTTATTCCAGCATAAGCCAGTTTTTAAGCTTCTATTTCCCACCACGTAGGATATTTATACACACCCCCAACAGCTATACAGCAAGCAAGGCCTGTCCATTTGAGGATTATGTCAATTTAAGCCCAGTATGGATTCACTTCTATGACAGTTGCATGCCAGAAAAGACTTAGATGCATTAAACAGCATGAGTGCATGCATGCATGCATGTGTGTGTGATCTGGATGTTAACGTGCGTGCCGGGCCCTCTCTGCGTGCAGCTCTGTGGGGAGGGGTGATGGCGGGTGCTGAGGTCACTGTGTCTTCAGGGGAACTCATGACGGTGAAGAAGGAGGAGGGGGAGTCCAGTGGCAACGACCATAAGACTCAAGTCATCCTGCACCTGCAGCCCATCCTGCACGGGTAACATAGTTTATATTTCTTTTAAGAGCCCATAGATTCTTTTGTTTTAAATTTGCTGTGTGACAATGAAGAGGCAAATGTAAGTGTATGAATAGATTTTAATGTAGAGATTTTAACCGTGTTAAAAAAATCCTCTTCTTCCTGCACATATTGTGACACCATTCTGCATCAATGCTGTATATAATCAATTTAATTCATTTTTGAGTCAAGGAATGTGATGGTAAGCAGTGTGGGAGAAAAGAAAACACTAAGAGAATGTTAGACATGTGGTAGCCTTTCACAAATCCTGCTGGTAAATCCACATTTTTTCAGATCTCAGATTGCAGGCAATTGTCATTATTTAAACGTGGGGAAATGTCGCCCTCTGCAGGGTCAATGATGACATTGCTGACACTGGCACTACAGTCTTGGCCATAGAGACACATCATGGTGAGTGACACAGAGACTTCTTCCTTCACTGCTGACATTGATTCACTTTAAATTAATAACTCAATAGAACAATAAATATATTATGTGCACGTGTTTTTGAGACAAATACAAATTGTTCATATATTAATCATATTGTTATTATGTGTTTTATTAATTTTTATTATCATCTGGGAATGCATTCTTGTTATTGGACTTATAGCTGGTTATAATTATGTGTTTGTTTTGTAATGCTTAGATGACAGTCAAGAAGAAGGAGAGGAAATTGAGTATGGCTACCCCATCACCTGCGGTGACAGCAGAGCGGTTCTATTGTTCAAGAAGTTCGTGTGTCCAGGAATCAATGTCAGATGTGTCAAAGTGAGTCGTGGTGTTTGCCGAGTTACTATTTCATCGATGCTGAATAACCACTTTGCTGAAACATTATCAGTTGACACCCGTATGTATAAAAAAAATATCCTGGATGCAGATGCCGCCATCTTGTGCATTTGGAGCCAGAGTGTGCAAAGTTGCATGGCATTTTACAGCATCAAATAATTACATAAAAACAAACCTAGCGGAAGAATTAAGGCTTGAACCTGCATCACTGATACGAACCGCCTAAAATTACAGAAATTGTTCCATCCACTGACCTTAGGGAGGTGGGGTTTATTAACTCTGTCTTGTTCTAATCGCTTTCATAAACAAACTATTCTCCTCTTACAGTTCAATGACCAGCTCATCAGTCCTAAGCAGTTTGTACACCTGGCAGGGAAGGCCACCCTGAAGGACTGGAAGAGGGCCATCAGACTTGGAGGGGTGATGCTGAGGTAGAAATATGAAAATTAAAAAAATATATACATTACCTGTTGTCTTCCTCACAGCTGCTGGGGAGATGCATGCATGTAAATCTGACCTTGAAGCAAATCCTTCTCTGAACTCTTGTCTCTAAAGCGTTTAATGCCGCCAACAGCATGTCTCACGCATTTAATTGCACTCCTGTCGAGTCTGTCTGTGTCAGGCTTTGCCACAACATTCCAGAGGTAGTCAGTAAGCAGCATTATCATCATAGTAGGATCAAATAACATGTGAGCAGGCTGCTGGGTGACACTCCTCACCCCTTCATCTTGTTCTGACTTGTTCTTGATGTTCCTGTGAGTCAATACACCGGCTCAATAAGCAATATCTGCTCTTTTCATCTGTATTCTTCCAGCGGTCAGATCAATGTACTTTGTGTCAAACAGCCCCTCCAGGCAGCTATTGGGATTCTTCAATAAATTCAGTCTGTTCTTCAACGCCCCGGCCATTGTGCAACAAAAATATTCTTTCTTGGAATGTTCTTTTAACCCTGCTTTTCCTCCCCACGAAGGAAAATGATGGACTCTGGCCAGATAGATTTCTACCAGCATGAAACCGTGTGCAGCAACACCTGCCGCAGCACTAAGTTCGATGTGCTGATCAACAGCACGAGGCCTCCTCCGGGGACCTTGGTGCAGCCGAACCCGTCAAGTCTGGCTCTTGACCCTCCTGGAGGACAGGTGCCTCCACTGACAGGTAGATTTCCGCTGGCATTTAGTTTCTTGTTTCTTTCCCTAACATATGCTTGTGCTGCAGAGACAGCAGACTAAAACCATTGAAGCCAACTGGAAATCATTCATTTGCAGCAATGAAAATAAAAGGATTTCGAGTAGTTTTAATTTTAAGACTTCAAGGCAAATAGTAATTATTTTTTTTTCGGTACACCGGTTGGTGCATCATTAAAAGTATCTGCATGCTTTTAATGATGCACTAACTGGTGTACCGAAAAAAATGAAAATCTAGAAAAGAATAATTGAATTTCCCTCTGCCTTCCCTGTCTACTCACATTCACTGATAACATGTGATATTTATGCACTGCTATTATCGTATAAGCCTGCTGCTTTTCTCCCTCATTTCAGAGATTGTGCATGATGCAGCAGAGGTAGAGGAAACTTTGGGGGATAGATTTGCAGCAGCAGAGCGGAGCCCTGGTCGAGCTCGGCCTGTAGACCCTGCAACCGCCAATGGACATGCAGCCAAGAGAAAGAGGGCTGACACACCAGGTAAATATTAGAAATGATATAAGATAGTGTTGCTTGGAAGCATCGTGAAAGGATTTAGAATTAGTGGCTATGAATAGAACCAGAAATGGACTGGGTGATAAACAAATATATGGACTATTAAAGGTTCAATGTGTAGAATTTAGTGATATCTAGCGTTGAAATTGCATGTTGCAGCTGAACACCCCTCACCTCACCCTCTCCTTCCAAACATGAAAAAGAACCTGTGGTAGACATTCATTGTCATAAAAACTCAAAAGGTGTTTAGTTTGTCCAGTCTGGACTAATGTAAAAAACATGGCAGCCTCCGTAGAGAGGGAGTTTTCTGGGGTACAGAAAACTACAATTCATCCAATTTAGATGAAACAAACTAGTGAAAACATCATGAGAATTATTCTACATTAAATTTCTGCCAATAGATCCCTTTCACCTAAATCTTACACACTGGACCTTTAAGACAGAATCTTTATATTTCAGTGTTATTTGAGAGTCATTTCACAACATGTGATACCAATAATTATCACCTAAAAGTGAATGTTTGTGCACAGTCTTTTGTGAGGAAACTGTGAATAGGAAGCTCACTTATTTACTGATGGACTGTGCTCGCACCATATCCTGCACAACAGGAAGCCACTCACCTGCAGAGCTGCTTTGTGCCTTTTATAGGAGATGTCACATGGGTATATCTCATGTTTAAAAGCAGTATCCAGCTGTTTACTGCAGTTTTCACAGAGTTCTACTTCTGCAATCTCAGGCTGTAACAGTCCATATTTTATTGCTTGATTGTTGAAAAAACACTGTAGCATGTACTGTATGTGCACATATGATTGTAAATACTGCAGTTTTATATTTGCACATAGTGGTATACTTTAGTTTTGGATTTGCACATAGTGTTATACTGCAGTTTTGTATTTTCACGTATGGTATACTGCAGTATTATATTTGCACATCGGAAAGATGATAAGATTCCTCTTTATTATTTCAGGAGGCACAGGTTCAGTCCATTGACCTTCAGTCCTCCAGAGGCTTTATGAGCCTTGGTCTTAGTCTAAGTTTCCAGTAAATGAATGAATGAATAAACCATGACAACAATAAAAGCTTTTAATATTAACATTATCTCCCCAGAGGGCTTATCTCGTGTCACGCCCCTTTATATCACCACTGTCTGACGCCTCTGATAGACACACCACTGAAACTCTGAATCTGCACTTGTGCAATGTTATGCTGTTCCTGCAGACTGGCCTAAAAAAGCTGCTGACCCTGGCAGGCAGGGAGTCATGTCCCTTTATATTACCATCGACAGCATCTGACATTTCAGTGTGGCGTTCTCTAGGACGGACCTAAGCGTTGATTTAAGGGCTTTTAAAGGTGACCTGATTATGCTTTGTTCCAGCTGGACCACAGTAGGCAAAACAGCCTCAAGTGTTCTTTTGTGTCTGAGTGGCAAATATCAGTGCCTCATCATAAAAAGAGGTATTGCTTTTCACGGGGCTTTAAACAAATTGACAACTCGGAGTAAGCTCAGGCAATAACTATACTCGTCTATCTACAGAAATGTGCCGTGTGCTTCCCATTAGTGTACGTTCCCCACTCGAAGAAATAAATGAATTTTGCTTCAGATAGCTGCAAATGGGATTTGGAATATTTTCCTCTAGCACATTGCATTTATCTTGACAGACATTTAAGCAAACATGAAAGTGGATGCATTTCTTGCAAGATAAGATATAAAGTACTTCTGACATTTTATCATTCTAATATACTTTTTTCCCTCTCAGTTTTGTGCATCTCCCCAGTAATTTTTCATTTTCAGTCCAATCTGCTCAATCCTCCTCTCTTTCCTCTTCGAGCACAGCTTTTCTAACCCATTTTCCATCGTTGCTACTCTTTTCTCTCTAGCTATTACCCACTAAACATCCTCTCTCCGCTGCTGCACCGCTCCCATTTCTTTTATCTCTGTCTATCTTTTTTCATTGTTTCTCCATCCCTGACACCTCCTCCTGAGTTTCCCCTCTTCATTTTATTACTCTCTTTTCCCATCTTTTGACTCTTCAAATCTCAATCTCTCCCTGCCTCCTCACTCTATCTCATTTATCCCACATTTCGAATGTTTTTTTTTTGCTTTGCCTATTATTTCTATTGTGTCTAGTCTCTGCTACTGTCCAACTTCACTCCACACTGTGCCAACACTGTTCCCTTGACTCTATCATTTTTAAGTGAACAGAAATGTATGTGATAACAATAATCTTCCTCCTTGACCTTCTCTAGATGGAGTGTTGAGCCTGTGGAAGGGTGTGGCAGACTCAGGGCTGATGGGGGAGGTTCTATCCAGTCTCCAGACTGAATTATTAGCGACTCTTAAAGGAGTGGAGGTTCGCAGTGAGAGGGCCAACCTGCAGGAGACAGGTGAGTTAATGATACTGGACCCAATTAGTCAATCATCATCAATCAAATTTGACTTATATAGCCTATATTCACAAATCACAACTTGCCTGATAGAGCTCAACAACCCATAACAACGGTAAAGAAACCCCCCCCCCCCCCCAAAATTTAAATTTTTAACAGAGGAAAGATGTAGAAACATCAGAGAGAGTTGCATTAGAAGGATCCCTCTCCCAGGACAGACAGAAGTGCAATAGATGTCACGACACCAAAATAACATTCCAACCTTCATGAGAACAGACAGTGTCATACATGTCCACAATCCTCGATCCACCGTCCACGCAACTGTCAGTCAAGTTAAATAAACGCAATCCAATTTTTTTCCTAATAGACATCAATAATTACATTTACCTTTGAATTTGTTGTGAAGTGATCCTTCACTATTCAGACATGCCTGAAGATTAATGATGTGTATTTTATATTTCTACTTTCTTTCTTAGTTTTTAATCTACGTGAAGTATCTTTTAGCATTTTCAAAAGTGCTATATAAATAGAATGTATAATAATTATTTGTGGAAGACAAATGAATAAGGAATAGTTGTAGCTAACATTTGATTATTTGAACAGATGCTGTCGTACTTAATTCCTTGTGTGAGATGTTTGGGCTTTTAGACTCAGTGAAGCAGGCTCTGGACCTGAGGCGCAGCCACGGGGAGGAGAGCAAAATCCACCACAGTGGTGAGAAAGCTGTGGAAGACTACATACAATACTGTAGGCCACATACAGGGATGTCCCAATGGTTTGTGTTGGCTCATATTATGTTGTTTTTCTTAGTGTTGGATGGAATTCTGGAGGAACAGAGGAGGCAGGGATGTGATAAAAGCACATCCTTGAAAGTCGTCCGACGTCAGCGCCACAGCAACTGCCAAACCCAGAATGTCCTGTCTCCTGTGAAAACAGTGATCCAGCCTCTCTCTGTTCTGGGTTTATCTGCTGAATCCTCTGCTCACCTCTTCACACACTTCTCCGCCTCCACTGGTCTGCACCCCCCCACCAAAACTAACAGGATGGACAGAGACAAGAACCATGAGCTTGGTGAGACAGGGAGCCAGGAAAAGGTTCACCAGCGGGGACAAGAGGGCACGGAGAAACAGGACATCTCAGGGATCTGCAGAGAGCCTGGACTAAGGACTGGAATGTCTCGAGAAGACCTTCACCTTAGAAGTCAAGAGGAAGAGGAAGAGGAGATTGAGCGTTGGCACGAGATCAAAAAGGTGATTATCGGAAGAAAGTCCTCAAAGAAACATAAAAGTAAGTGAGCAAGAGGGAGATGATCCCAAAAGAAATCTAGAGAACTGAGGGAGGAGGGAACATGATGGAGACCAGAAGATGTAAAGGATAAAAGATAGAAAACAATGTTACTTTGTATACAGTGTTGTTTTTTCTCTTCATGAGTACACTCTCGTTACTTTAGGTGAGTTGTGGTTACTTCAGTGAGGTTGCAGGCAGAGATCTGTTAATGCATCAAGTTTTTAAATGGCACATTTTAGGAGACCAGTCTGCTTTTCTAACATTTCAACAAATGTGTTGAGGTGAAATGATTATTTGATTCATTGACTAGAGTAACACTGTAATTTAAGCTAAAAGAAAAAAGAAAAAAAGAACTGTTTGCAGCTCTAAATGCAGTGTTTTGCAATATGTCACTTTATATGTCGAAAATTGCAAATATTTTTTTATGACTTTTGATTTCTTTTTTACCACAAACAGTTAATCAATTTATAATGAAAATGTATAGTCATAATAATTGTTTGCAGCCATCCTCTGTAGTCTAATAGATTGGAAAACAAGGGTTTTTGTGACAGAGATCAATGTGATTTTATTTAAATTTCAGTCCAATGATTTTAAAAACTGTAAATATAATATTTGATTATACCTTTGGTTAATGGTGATACAAATATTCCCCTTATTTAAAAGTGCTCGGCAAATCTTTCAGGTAGCTGTGACAAACACATTTATAACTACAAGTACAATTTGTAAATTAATATTCAGTGCTTACTTCACTTGTGAATTTTTTAATAATTTTGATTATGAGAAATATTTCACGCCCTGGCTTGTATTTAAAACCTGCCTAACATCTATGCACCACTGCCTGAAGAATGAGTCATTCTTAATCTAAGACGGTGAAGACTTTACAGTAGATTAGATAAGTAATGTGACTGTTGGTGTGTGCTGTTGCTTTATCCAGGGTACTGTGTACTAACCTGCCAGAAATACAGAGTCATATTATATAACCTCTACTCACTTTACTAAATAAAAAAACTTACAAAGGAGAAAAATATATGAAACTGTGACCTTGTAAAAATAATGAGCACATTTTAATTAAAAAACATCTACATATCAAATTTGAACTGAAGTGATGTTTCAGTTTGTGTGTCAACAGCATCTCAGCAGTTTTTTTTTATTTTTTTTATCAACCAATTGAAATGTTTTCATATCACTGCCTGATGTGTCCAACCACACCACAAAGTTTAATTTCAAATATAAAAGCAGTGTTCTGTCCATTGTGAGTCACCCTTTATTGACTCTTTGAGCCCCATGCTGCACACAAACCCTGTGATAGTGATGGTTAATAGCCGGCCTTTGACAATTTCCTTCAAAGCTGTAATGATGTGTTATTATAAATTCACACAACACTGCCTGAGCATTGTTGGCGAGGGGCTTATGAGCGACAGCTGATAAAATGCTTGATAAAATGACTTTCATCACAGTGCAGCTGTCAGTATCCCCGCTGACGCCTTTCCTGCTCAACAGGGTTTTGCAGCATCCTGTTAGCTTTACTGCAAATTAAACTATCTTACAGTTGAACAGATTCAGGCCAAAATACTCCCTAGCTCAAATAAATTGCTACTCTGGGCCTTGAATACCAGGGTGCAAAAAAATGGCTGCCATGCATCAAGCAGGTGTAATTGCAGGTGTTAGCTCGACATATGCTGCACTCCCCTGGTTAAATGAAGTCATTTGCCGAGCAATCCATCGTTCATCTGTCATTCCGGCCAAACATAATTTGAGACTGTGCATTCCTGTTGGAAGCCTTAGATGTATCTGTTGGCCGGCATTTAATTTATCTTTAATGCACACCCACAACAGCAAAATGAATGATGAATAGCCTCCATAATGATGTCTTGATCCAATCAGGAGTCCTGGAGCCACAACTAAACGTGTCAGCAATGATTCAGCACCGCCTTGGTTCACGCAGAGAACTGGCTGCAGCATCAGCACTTGTGAAAGATGTTTAATTTCTAATGTGGATCACAATTGTGTTGGAAAGCTTTAATCGGATACGACAGAACACCTTGCAGCATGTGACAAGTGATTTATAATTAAATACACCCACCAATGATTTTACAAATCAAGTATGACATGTCAGAGAACCTGCATGGCAAATTTTACAATACATGTTTAAGTGACAGTTAATTTTCAAGTCATTATATATGTTATATGCATATAAATTCACCATTATACTGACTTCAGAAGGGATTTCTGGGTAGAAAAAATACAATAATATGGAATGCCAATTTAGTTTACACAACATCATGGTCTATAACTAATGTAGATATAGGTTTTGCACCAATCATTCAAAGGTGTAAGGCTGTAAAGCCATTTTTTGAAATGATGTCGTCACTGTTATTGCAAATGTAACTTTTAAAGCACGTCTGCAGTGCAGAAAAGATTCCGTGGTTGTTGTTGTTGTCGAAATGATGATCCTGTACCTGTATGGTAACTGCTGTCAGGGCAGTGAAGATGAACTATATTTGTCATTAGTTTTAAATTGATGAAATTGCAAAGAAACAGATTAGCACCTTGTCTCTGTCCCTACAAATACACACCAACACACAGATGCATGTTTTTGTAACACGTAACCATGATTACTACACACACACCTAATCCCACATCTTACTCAACGCTTTCTCTAACCTTAACAAAACCAACAGTTGCAATCCCAAGTCTAGACCTTAATTATCACAAGTTCATGAGTCAGCCAAGTCCCATCCACCTCACCCTATAATCTCAACCAAATCATCATGATTTTCATCTTAAAATACATTTTTGAACCTCAAAAAGCCCTTTAAAGCAACACTATGGAATTATTCTAAACCATAAAATTGCAGCTTCAAAATGAATTTGCACTTTGGAGATTTGTGCAGCTTTTATTCTTACTCCTCACCCTGAATACCTGTTCTTTGATGGGCGGGTAGAATCTTCTATGAGAAGTTTGTAATTGACTGATGGTTGCATCTTAAATTGACAGAATCAGTCCTAACAAGATCAGGAGTAATGCGGAACTGTGGATCATTCAAAAAGACTTGGACGTCTTTAAAAACCAACATTTATCTCCATTACTCAGCCAGGAAACTTTTAAAATATCAAGAATTCTAAACAGCAGCAGCTTCTCTGGTTCAGGAATCCGAGGATCATGAGGAATATCCACTGTTCAGTTGTGTTTCACTTCAGTAAGTGGGACTACGCAGTCACAGCTCTGGTCTTAAGATTGATAGACTGTTTTTCTCTCTAGATGAAAACCACTTAATCGCTCAAACAGAGGCTAGCAGAATGAATCACCTTGTTTGGCTGCAGGGGGCGCTGCAGCTCAGTGACAGTGTTGCTTTAAAGAAGTAAACTCTGTATAAATAGATACATAAATTACAGTTTACAATGTGAATACACTCAAATACACAGAAATTGTAGCTTGTAAAAATATACGTTTAAGTGACTTGTAACGCTGAGGCCAAAACCCAGAGGAAAAACTTTGCATTACAAAATGTCTGTATTGGGGTGTACTACGCATTATCAACTTTAATCATTAGGATGTGAAGGGAATTTCAACAAATAAGGTAAAAAGTGTTTCAGAAACAATTTAACCCTCACACAACCAAATTGTGACCAGAAATGTCCCCATTATCCCAGTGTGTCAAAGAGAGTGTTTGTCTCTTAATATTTATTGTTCTGTAGTCCCTCTTTTTGCTATAGATAACAATGCAAATTTGTTTATATTTGATTTTGGGGATGTGGGTGTATAAGTTTGTATATATATATATATATACTATATATATATAGAGAGAGAGAGAGCGAGAGAGCCCTATTTTTATTATTTATTTTGTATTTATTGTTACATATACTTTGTGTACATTATATAAAATATATAGCACATGTAAACAACATAATTATAGATATATATAGGAAGCTGGTTAAGTATAGGATAATAATTAATTAAGGAGAAGGGGTGAGGTGAAAAAAGTTTGTACTTCTTCTCGAGTATGTGGAGTAAATCATTAAGTGTTTGATTTAGTTTTCTTGTTTGAAAATACTTTGTTCCTGTTTTTCTCTCTTGTTTAATTTGCGTGTTCGAAATGAATAAAAATGAATAAAAATAAAATAAAAGACTCAGGGGTTTTTGCTTGCCTGAGGTTTGAGTACCCCGGTGTCTTTCCCGGTTCGGCCGCTTGGAGGAGCCCGGCTCATACTGTGTGGGTGCAGCTGAGTGGAGGCTGGGGAGGAAAGTGGGTTTGAGACGAAGAAGAGAAGCTCTCTCCCCTTGAACTGTTTACCCTGACGTCAGTTTGCAGGAGTCGCTGAGCTCCGTCTGTCTCCGAGTCTCTGAAAGTCTCAGTGAGGAAAACACGCTCTCAGCTCTGCTACGCGCCCCGGACCTCGCAGAGTGGATGAAATGCGTCCTTGCGCACATTTAAAGTGGACTACAACCTCTGCACCATGAACACCTGCGCCTTCCTGTTGATTTTGACTGTCCAGATCTACGCCGATGGGATCGAGGGGCCAACAGGTAAGACTCAGACTCACGTCGACCTCCTCAAGGGAGCTGGGAAGTTTGTTGCGTGCAGGTGAAACTCCGGTTAAAGGAAAAGCGGAGCGAGTCCGGTGGAGGGGCCAACTTTGCGCCCACGTTGCTGCGTTTATTTGCGAGTTCCCACGACTTACTACCGGGGCAGTGTCACTCCTCCTGTTAGGAGATAAAACAAAATGATTTAATAACATTATAAACTGACTTTCTAAGTTTTCTCAGTGTCAGATTCCAGCTAAAGAACATGGGGATTTGAGGAGACTGTTCCTGGGTGTTCTCTGGGGCGTAAAAGCGCCAGTTTTCCCTGAACAACAATCCCCTGCTGTACTCTGGGTTTTTCCTTCTTCTTATCGCTCCTGCATATTTACAGGCGCCAGGTGGACTGAGAGGTGTTTTTGACATTGTGGTCCAAAGTTAGAAATCAGTTCATTCACAGTTTCCCTCCCAACACCTCTAGGCTATTAAGTCAATTTTTGTGTGAGCATAAATCTCCTAGAGACCAAAGACCTTGAGCTGCTCCACGCTGCTGTGAGGTTGCATGGTTTTATACAGAGTGACTCCAGTTTAGAAGTTGGCCTTGTAATGCTCATTGATTTAAAAAAGAAAAAAGAAAAGATTATTCTCATATTATTAATAATAATATTCTAAGCTGCCACTGACTGTGGGGGAACCGGTCAGATTCACTCTCAAAGATGCTGCATATTTTTTCCTCCTCCTGATGTGCTGAGCTGCCTCTGGTCTTGTGGGTTGTTTATTTGCAGAAGACAAATTTATGCTCTCAAAAATCTTCCAAGATGAGGGAAATTAAACATATTTTCTTGTTAGATGGTTTCAGGCTCATTCGTCTTGAAGAAAATGTATCTTTTTATGTGTTTTGAGCACAAAAAGATGGATTGCAGCATGGTGATTTTCAGAGCAAAGGATGGTAATGATGCAATTGATAGGATTTTACCTTAAAATGAATAGACGCTGACTTATTTCTCAGTTCATTTTCATAGTAATTGGTTAAATGAATCTTTTCAAATGAGAAAATTAGCCACATGTTGGAGACATTTTCATATTCATTAATATTCATGTTTCCAAAATCACTGAATTCTCTGTCATCTGTGCTCTGCTGATTTTCTTGATATATTGTTAATAGGCTGAAATGGCTCCTGTGTTCTGATCTCTTTTTCTTAGACACACACACACACACACACACACACACACACACACACAAGTACATAATGTAACCCCTGTGGAACATAAAAAAGGGTAATATTGATATTATCCTCACACTGCTGGCTGTTTCAAGTGCTTGTCTTATGCATGTTGGGGAAAAATAAACATAAAAGCTTTGATTATGTCGAGATTTGCCTTAACATTCTGCTGTGCTAACGCGCTAATGCTTCACAAGAAATGAGGCAAACGCACCAACGCCGGGTACAATGCTTGTACACACATTTTGAAGGAGACAAGAATAAAGAAAATAAATGAACAAACCCATGTGAGCAGAATGTGTCGAGAGCTGAATAGAGCAGATCATTAAGAGGAATAGACTGAGACGTATGAGGGATTAGATCACAAACAGGTAATTAAAAGGGATGAATGAATCAGGAAGGCTTCACTGCAGCTATGGGAGTGTGTGTCAACAAATTTTTTTACATAATAGATTTTTTTTTAGTTTGCAAACTGGAGTGTTAAGCCATCTGTGCCTTTATCTTCCCATTAGACACAAAGAGTTAACACTGCCAGTGTCTCTTCATGCTTTTCCACCTGCCTACGTCCTGCAAGAGGAGAAATTAAGGATCATAAACATGGCCTTAGTTTCTCCTTTGATTAACACAGCCTTATTGCTGTGACCGTGTGAAGACCTCACCTTAACCCTGAGTTAAGACTCCACTCCATGGGGGGATTTTTTTTAACACACAACCTAATCTGTATTATCCGTATCTCCGTCTTGCTACGGTGATCAGTCCTGGCTGTCAGTTCAAGAGGAAGTGAAATCATTAGAGGCTGTGAAATATGACGGCTCTCTGCTGCACCGGGGCTGACTACGCTGAATTTGATATCACATTTGCATCACGTTTGCTCAAGCACAGAGAAGTTGTGAACATGAAAAGTTTTTTTTCTTCATGGTGTAAAGATTTGACACTTTTACTCAGCTGTTGGGTCTGTTGGGAATAGAATGGATGTTCACTTAGCATCTGTCTCCTCTATTAGCGCGGGATGTTGTCAACCCAGTGGTTGTAATTATGCTGCGTCTCATGACTCATTTCCCAGTTTGATCTAAAGTTAAGGCAGAATATCTGTTTCGCTTACTTCAGTGAATAAGATAACACTTGGACTGAGATGAAAAGGCCCAGACTGTCTAAGCGTGGCATGGAATGAATAATACTTGAGGGCTTTGAGTTTACTCTGCATAAACATCAGCAGCAGCTCTGAGAAATGTAATATGGGACCACCAGCACATATAAGCGCAGAGGGATCAGAGCTGCAGTGATATTTCGATCATCAAAATAGTTGATTACGAGCAAAAATATCAAAAACATCTGCTGCTTCCACTTTCTTAAAGATGAGGGGTTGATGTTTTCTTTCTCATACGTGATATTACACTGATGATCTTTGGGGGTTTGGACAAAACAAGACAAGACGTGAGCTTTGGATTTGGAAAAAACGGATAATCGAGAACATAACCATCAGATCAACCGATAATTAAAATATTTGTTATTTGCAAACTTACGGCAGAGACACACATTGACGAATGCAAAGCGAATATCGCAGGTCAAAGTTCACCAAAGAACTCCATGCAAAGCCACGCTGTGATTTTCCTTTCTACAGGAAGATAGATAGAAGAGCATAGTTTAGAAGTGACTTTTTCATTCTGCTGCAGAAATCCGGTGTTTTCGTTTTGCACGGGTTAAAACGTTCAATCGCTTGCTGCGATTTTTGACATTTTCTTACTGTATTCTCACATGGGCTCACTCGGACATGTTCTGGACATTTCACTAGGGAACTGGAAGGAAAGGATCCGGAAATTGTCTGGAGCAACTCACTCTAAAGTTTGCGTTCTCACATACAGCCTAATTTCAGGGCAGCTCTGAAGGCAGCTTTGGAGAGTAGCCCACATCCTGACACACTAATAAATATGGGAATCAGACCGTAGGAAAACACAATTCAGATTAAATTGCACACAGTTTCTACTTCAAAAGAGGGCAGATCTATTTGCTGCACGACGTTACATTGTGAATATGAAATGTATTTCTTCAGGAGAATTGTCTTGACCCTGTTTAGGTGTGAGTACAGTACAAACTCAAATAATTGAATATGGCAGAGTCATTATTGTTCCATGTATTTAATCTCACAATGACTGCTTGTAGCTGCTACTTAATGGTTCTTGTGATTCCATTAGCTCACTGTGTAGGCATTTAATTCAATTGTGGGGAAAATAAGAGCTTGGGATGCATTTTGTGAATTGTTGAGAAATTGTAACCGTCAGGTTGGAAATGTTGCCTCGCACCACAGAGCTGTGGCAAACCCACCAAATGGAAGTGTTCCCCCTGTGCGACCCAGGTCACCACTACCTGTGGCTAGAGGCTGAGGGGCGGAAGGAATCGAGCCTAAATCTGACTGGTGAAAGGAGTTGTTTTCCATCTTTGCGGGATCACAGGAATTAATTCCGAGAGCAGATGGAAAACTTTGCAACAAGAAGGAAGGGGACTAGAGGGGGAGAGAATTTCAGATGGAGGAGCTGAGAATAACAGAGAGATTTACTCAGATTGATCTTCACAATGTTTTGTTTTCGACTGAGGCCATGTGTGTGTCGGCCGTTCTGCCTTCAGCGTGCGAGTGTGTGATTAAACAGGGTGCTTTTGAGAGGAGTTCCCTGCTCTGCAGCATGTCTCTTCCCATTTCTGTCTCTGATCCATTGTAATGTGTGGCGATGTGGAGGAGAGCCAGCCCCTCTGATTGGCTCAAGACTTGGAGGTTGAAACATATCCATCTACTGTATGTGTTCAAGGGATTGTGCTTGGATGCCAAGCGCCATGATTGGTTTCCCCATCACTAGAAGTGCTCGTCCAATCAGGGGCCTCGTCTGTCTGGTCTCATTTCTCATGTCTTTGCGATGCCTCTCACCGAAGTTTGTGCTGTGCTGAGTGCGCAGAGCTTCTATACAAGACTGCAGCCCACGCACATCTTGTTTGTTCTGCTAAATGAATTCTGATATAAGCATTTTACTGTTCCCTTTTTAATTATCATGTGTTACTTTTCACATTTTGTTCCTTTTGTTTTTGTTTAAGGTGCCGTGAGTTGTGGTTTTCCCCAGGCAGAGGATTGTTTGCACAGTAAAAGGTCAAGTGCAGGGTTCAGTTACCATGTGTCTGAGGCAGAGAAAGAGCAGGTCACTTCCTTTTGAGAACAGGCCAAACCCCCAAAAGCGGGATTGTCTCTGCCGCGTGTGTCTCCTTTACCATTTAGCCCGACCCCTCTCCTTCTCCTTATCTGTGTGTTCGCGCTCCTTCATATTAAATCTCACCGGCCGTTTCTGCGGGCAAACAAAGAGCTCTTAAAGGAAGCGCTCACGGGGAACCTGTGCAGATAGGAGATAATTATACATGATACTTATTATCCTGTCAAGGTCCTTTTTATTCAAAGTTTATTATTAACAGGTCAGGAATCAGGACATGGCTACAGGAGTAACGAGGGGGGAACCAAAAAAACACCTAATTCTCTCCTTAAAAAGAGTTAAATGACCATAAAACATTAGCGATGAGAAAATTAGCAGAGCAAAAACACGTTTCCATTAAAATTAAGGTGAAAGGGACTTAAGTCCAATGTCAAGATTTAAAAGTTATCATTTAAATGTCTAAAAACAATTAGACCTATTTTATATATTTTGTTGATTTTGTGTAGTAACTCAAGGTATTCAAGATAATATTTCTTTTTGGTCGCCTTAAATTTGCATCATATCTATTTTACCTCCTGCTTTGCTCGTCTCTGCT